TTTTCATGTGGAAAAGCTGAGCCGCACTGCTAAAATCGAACTTCTTCATCTTGTATTAAAACATCTCAGGGACTGTAAATGTGTAGTTAAGGGGGCTTTCGCTGGTACGGTCTACTTAAGATCAAAGTGGGTTGCATGTGGCCCATGATGTAAAATGAGTTTGACATTCCTGATTTAGCGTTTTCAGAGCTGACTTGGTGTCTTCCCAGAGATGTTAGGAAGTCTAGGTTAGAGGAAACAATAGACCTAGTGTATGTGTGTGCCAGACGTCCTGGAAAGCTTTGCTAAATAATAATTTACTTTGTGCAGTGTTTATCTAATGAAAGTGGAAAATATGAACTTAAATAAAAAGTTGGTCCATTGTGGTTGCTGAATGATTACACCTCAAAGACACCCATGACCCTTTGACTATATATTATTATTATATTATATATATTATATATAATTGATCCGAGTGCTTTTTATTTAGTGCTGCTTCAAACATGCAACTATGTCCGGTCATCCAACAGTTTAGGATTAAAGACATTTAACATTTTAAATGGATATTCCCCAGCTTCAGATGAGAGCCTGTTTAAACATTTAGATCAGAGGTCCCAAAGAATTTTACACCACTGGATGTCTTTGTAAAGACTGAAAATGGCAGCAAAGTCTGATACCCTGGAAAATGGAATAACTACTCCTTTATATACACTCACTGGCCACTTTATTTCCTGCACCTTGTTACTGCTGGGTTGAGCTGTCCTCATTCTTCACAGCACAGATTCGACAAGGTGCTGGAAACATTCCTCAGAAATATTGGTACATGTTGAACACGGCAGCATCGCACAGGTGCTGCACATCCATGATGTGAATCTCCTGCTCCTCCACATCCCAAACGTGGTCTATCCGGTCGTTAAGTCTGACGTCACTAGCCGTGTCTGGGCCTAAACTCCGCTGCAGGTCCATATATCAAACGATCACTATGGCATTACTGAGAGTTGAAAAACTGTCTTAAGTCTTTCATCTTTAATAAAATGATCAGCGTTCTGCTCAAAACGGAATTTATGACATTTAACGGAGTTAGAAGTTAGCAGGAAGTTAGCTCGCTAGCTTCTATCTAAATACAATATAGCATGTCCTGACTGCGGGGTTTTGGAAACAAATTAAAATGTACAGCTCTGTTATCACTTCCAACATAAATGAAGACAGAAAACTAAACAGCAGTGACGTTTGTAGGGTTACTGAAGTTTGGCTAGCTGGTATATAATGATGTGCTACGTGTCCGCTAGCGACACAGCTGTGTTAGCATAATATAAACAAGCTAACTTTTTTTCCACTCGATAAAAGTTAACGTGAGTGTTCTCGGTGGTCAGGAACAAATGTAATCGCATGGCAGGATGCTGTAAAAGGACCAAACTTCAGCCAGGAGAACAACTGAGTTAATCCATCCACAATACGAGGTTAGTCATTCATATACTGCTGCATGGGCTGGGCTGTAGTTACATCCTAAGATTTTAAAACTGAGCTTAAATAAATGATTAGCGTAATAAAAGCCGAGGGAGGTCAACAGGGATCACTGACTGTTTTAGGAGCTTTTTGAGATCAAATAGAAGAAAACACAAAACATTAAACATGTTAACAACACAAAAGCCATATTAAACGCCGACTACTTTAGGCCCGGAAGTAGGATTCGTCACCTCATCACCTAACGACCGGATTAGGCTGAGATCTGGTGACTGTAGAGTACAGAGGGATAGTGGGAAGGAAGAACTCCCTTTGAACAGGAAGAAAACTTGAGCAGAACCAGGCTCTGGGGGAAGGGCAGCCATCTGCAGCGAATTTGGGCTGAATTTAAATGGCCTGTATTTGTATAGCGCTTTTCTAGTCCCTAAGGGCCCCAAAGCGCTTTACACAACCTGTCATCCACCCATTCACACACTGGTGATGGCAAGCCACACTGGGGCGCACTGAGTGAGGCGAGGCTGCCGAACACTGGCGCCCCCGGGCCCTCTGACCACCACCAGTAGGCAACGGGTGAAGTGTCTTGCCCAAGGACACAACGACCGAGACTGTCCGAGCCGGGGCTCGAACCGGCAACCTTCCGATTACAAGGCGAACTCCCAACTCTTGAGCCACGATCGAATTTAGCTAATAAGCTAAAATTATTTTGACACATGGATTAGATGTTGTATATAAGTAGCAATATTTTAGGTAAAAAATACTTCGTTACTACTATTAAGTAAAGGTACAACACGAACTTACAAATGTGTAAGTACACTAAGTGCAGAGTACAGTATAACTGACTACTATTTATGATCTACTCATTCATTTTGATTTAGAGGCAGCTTTTGTGGTAAGTATGACCACTTATGAGTACAAGTAGCATTAAATAAATAAACTCGTATAGTCAAGTTTTTCTTTCACAAGGAGTAAAAGTACTTTCTCTACCTGCTGTTATGTAGTACATATACTGCAACTGCCTGCAAGCCTCACTAAATTATTTTTGCATGAATTCATTGTTTAGGTCAACACAAGCTAAAAAGTCTGTAATATAACTGTAAGAAGTCTCTAATATGAGTACTGTAAAACATGTTGGGTTTTTTTGGCTTGGGTGAAGCAGTCTTACAACAAACATGGAGGTGGAACAGCCAACTGAAAGGAGAGGAAGAAGGATGAAGGTGTGCCGTAGCGTAGCAAAAAGAGAGCTTTAGCTCGGTGGTTGATTACAGCCTGTGGCCGAAGGTACAAGCGGGACATGATGTCCATTTGTTTCTTTATAGTTTGTTGTAGCACATTCAAAGGTAAGAGCTATTTGCTCTACTGAACAGGTACAAGTAATTAAGGACAAAATATCAGCAGCAGTAAGAATTTAAAAGGTAGTAATAATAATGAGAAGAAGTGCAGCACTAGCATATGCGCTGCAGTATCCTAGCATCTTTAAGTTAGCTTCAGCTAATGTGAAATGGATCACAACTCAAGGGTCCACATTGTCTTGAGTTTTAAATTTTCCACTGCTGAATGCTGAAGGCTTTGTATTTTTATTTATTTTGTTTTTTTATCCTCATTTTTTTAGTTGTAAAACTTTATTATTTGTCAGCTAACAGCTTTATATGTGTGCATCCTTGAATCTCAGGAGGAAACTGTCATTGTCACTGCTGCTGGCATGTCCAAAAGCTATCACAGTGCTACCTTTCCTTTCCTTTGATAAACATCT